GTTTAGATATTGGTTGGAATTTCCGCTTTTGGTATAATACGGTGGGAAAAATTAAATTAGCGAATTCTATCTCATGGTTTTTAACATTTTTTACATCACTCGAATTTTTCACAAGTTCTTGTTTTCTAGATTGGACCACCTAGGTTTTAAGTCAGAAGCAGGAAACAGGACATACCCGACTCTTTGCAGCAAAATTAATCAAATTAATTCTCGAATGTGAGCCGCTCGAAAACCTAAAAATCCTAATTGCATAAACGCAGAAAGCTGCGTTACGTTTTCTAATGTTTCTCACTTCCAATCATAATTGTATAATTCGTTTGCCCCAAGGAGTGCACCTCCCCATCATGCAATATTATAATAAGAAAGTCGGCGTAATGATATGCACAATTCCAAGTGACTGCAATCGTTTAAAACACACGCACGATTTTATTGGCGGAAGAGTCGTGTGATTAAATGTCTTTAGTTATAACTAGAGCTTGAGGGTAATTTCTAGAGAAACATTGATCTAAAACGAATTTTTAATTGCATGAGCAGATGTGAAGTTCCTCTAGCGGCTAGTAGGAAAGATTTATGATTCAATGAAATGCTATAAACCATACAATTTCTTTAATTTTTTTCTAATAATAAATTTACAAGTAATAAACTAATCAGGTGAAACAATGTCGTAAATCTTGTATTGCGATTTATCATAAATTCTCAAATTGTTAAAATGAAAGCCTGACCTCGTGTCATGCGATACAATGAATTAAATTGGAATTTGTGAGGATTCCGCATGATTTTATTCAAACAGAAGTTAAGCCAAAAGACACGAATAGTTGCATGTAGTCAACACGCAACCAGTTCCGATATTTTCCAACATTTTATAAACAGTTAGAATAAAATAGGGAGCAAAAAATTAACAACGCAATGTTTGTGGCGTCGCCATCAGCTTTGGTTCTTATTTTAATCCTTGTTTTGTAATAAATGATAAGATCACCAGGGTGTTTATTATTTGATAATAAAGTAATTTCTGGCTGATATTTTGATAATTTGATACAAAAATACGTTTTGAGAGTACTTGGTTTAGTAGGTTTAATAAAAAATTTGCTTTATCTAAGGCGTTTTCTTTAGAAAGGAAGAGTATAATAATAATAATTGAAACTTTTTTTGTATTGTTTAAATATTAAAAGTTTTTTTAAGCAATGCATAAAAAATTGTTTTCACTTATAATATTCCGAGTGCATTGATTGTTTTCGGAATTTTTTTTGAATTGATTGTCAAAAACGAGAAAAAAAATCCGGATTCAATCAATGCACGAGTTTTATATTCAAAAGTCGGACAATCTCTTGGGTGGTATTAAAGAACAGTTAAAAGTTCCCATGACAAAAAATTGTTGGAGCTTTTTTTAACGAGATATAAAAAATATTGTGAACTTAATTTTGAAATTCCAATCATTTTTTTGTTCGAATTTCTTAAAAAAAATTTGAAATGAGAAATCACTTCACAGTTTATTTGTAATTTACTAAATCGTTCATACAGAGTGTTTCAGATGAAATTTTATGTTTAATATTTTTGTCTGCAAATGTCAGAAAAATGATATTTTTATGACTAAATGACACAAGTAAAAGTTTTACCTTGGAGTAAAAAACTCTGCTTTTTCGCCAAAGCGTTTTTACTTTTACCATGACATTTTTGTAGTCTCTTTCGCTGCTTCAACATTTTCTGACGAGGTACATTGTAGATTATCAGCATTTAACATTTTGCACTACAAACTACACTAGTTAAATCGATAAACACAAGATAAAATCTCAACACAAATTTTGAAACTGACGCGTGACGTTTGAGATTTCACTGCAAAGCGTTTTGATAATTTTGCTAATACTTGTGTTGCTCTTTACTCTCGATCTGAAGACATTTACGGATAAAATAGTATACAGGGTATCAATTTTAAAACTTGCAATTGGCAAAACCGTTTCGGTGGTTCCTAGGGGGAATCAAAATGATATGGTAAGTGACGCACCTCCACCCACCCTTAAAGCCACAGCCACTCCAAGTTGAAAATTTTAAATAGTACGACCCTACTTGTGATAAATCGTTGAAAAGCTCATAACAAGCGCTTTTCACAAATGCCATACAACAGCCTATTTGGTGAAGCCGTTTTTCGAATTATTTAAAAACGCAGACTTTAAATTTTAATTTTTTTTTTATTATATTCAAGGGTGGGTGGAGGTGCGTTACTTACCACGTCATTTTGATTCCCTCTAGGAACCACCAAAACGGCTTTGAGTAATGCTCTATAACTTTTTCAGTTGAGAGATATTGCCGATTGCAAGTTTTAAAATTGACACAGTGTATGTTATTTGGAGTAAAAGTGAGAGTTTTTTACTCCTAATAACATAGTATACTATTTATTGTTAATCTTTTTAGAAGAGAAATTTTTACTGAGAAAATCAGCAGAGACATTCTATGCGAAATAAAAACTAACTAAAACAACTTTTTTTTATATAATTGTCATAGAAATATATATAGTACATTATATTATAAGTGATAGAAATGCATCATTATACGCGAGTGAGAATTTTGACACTTATCACGAGTTTCATAATTGCATTTCGATCACGTGTGATATACGACGTTTTATCTTACAGGTGCAACTATCCAAAAAATTTCAAGTAAAATATTCACTGATAAAAATATAATAGTAAATATAATAGAAAAAAATAATATAATAGTCAAATTTACTCACTTGTGAGTACTTTATCTCACTTGTGAATAATATTTGATTTCTATCACCTAAAACAATGGTCTAAGGTACCTCAAAAACTCAACCTGTAAGATAAAAATTATTATTAACGTTCAAAAAATTCATACAAATCAAATCCTATGATATAATACTCAAAACGCGGTTACACAAAGCCTCATTTCACCGGAAATAATCGGTATTTCATATTTTTATCATTAAATATGTGATTCGTCCATAAATTCATAAAATCATAATAAATAATTGCCGGCTAGTGCAGCGCACGCAGCTCATAATCGCTAATTAACGTTCGCATTAATATAAAGCATAGCATTTCCAGCCCAACAATTTCATAATAATTCTCCCTCGCTCTATCTCCTGTCCGTTTTTTCAACAATTAACTTCTTTCGAACGAGACTTTGTTCAACTCTCACTTAGAAATCTACACACACATTATATGCGTAACAATCGAAAAATAAACAATTCCGCGGAAATTATGTTAGACGCGTTTTATCTGTTTGCCAAGACGGTGACTGACATTTATCCCATTACTGTCAGTAGTAGTGCGAGTTGAAAAACTTCCTCGAGTTTGCTTTCATTGCTAGGTTATCGCATTTACGGATCAAGAAATTCTCGATGAAAAAAATGTGCAACACACACCTTTTCAAAAATTCCAGTTTCAATTTTTTAAGTATTAATAAAACAGCAACAAAGTTATTGGGAATTATTGGTGTATTGATTGTAAAAATCAAAACAAAGAATTGTTTTACAATAAAAAATGTAGTGTTCACAAACCTTTAGCTGAAACTCTTTTAGTTTAGTAAATTGCAAATTAATTTTGAAGCGTTTTGTTTTAGGAATTTGGGCAAAAAAATGTCCTAAATTTTGAAGTTAAGTTGGCAACATTGAAGAATGTAGAGACAGACGATGTAAAAAATGCTCATTTTTATCTTCCCTGTTTAATTTAAATACAAATTTAATACTAAAAACGCGAAATATTTATTATTGCTTCAATAACTTTATCAGATCGATAAACTAAAATTGGTGTATTGTGATTGGCTTAAGAGAGACAGAATTAGGTCCACGTTTAGTAGTCACGTGTGTTTGAAACTTAGTCACGTGGTTAAGAATGGTAAATGGCGTTTAAAAGGTCATACAAAGTTTAACTGAATTATTTTTTTATTATTCGTCAACATAATATTTTTCCTACTTTCTCGTTCCTGCTTTTTGCATTCAGTTTGGAATTTCGCAGGTATTTATTGTTCCTTGTTTATATTCATCGTGTGATCTTTGATCTTTTTATCATAAAACGCCAACATTAATTGTGCATCCATAAATGGCCACCACTGAGCTTGCGGAATTCTATTTATTGATTTACTAATTCCCAAGTGTTCTATTCTGTTTCAGTTCTGTTTTAATTATACCTTTTTGATTATTTTGAATTAATGTTAAAAGAATATTTTGTTTTGTAATTGTTTTGTTTTTGTTGTTATAATTAAAGAGTCACAATTTTACCGAATGAAGAAGAAAAAATTATAAAAAAAAAAACTGTTAAATAATTGGATATTGCAGATTTTTTTTGGTTTTGTTCATTTTTATCAAAATTTTTGTTTTTCTAATTTTGTTAGGTTTTTATTAAATATTGAATTAATTTTTCAGTTTTGCGTTTATCTTTATTAGTTTTCCCATTTTACTTTTTATTCGATTTTCAAAACTAAAAGTTCAATAAATTCCATGCATTTATTATTAAGTTGGCAAGAGCATTATGTCGCCATCTTTTTCAATTTTGCCAACCTAATTTTAACATTATGACCTATAAAACAATTTATTAAAGTGTCAAAATAAATTTCTTCGCTAAGAATCAGGGGAAAATGAAGACAATACTCTGGCCTTTATCGAGCCTCTTTGAAACAGAACCGGTGATGATTTACAACATCGCAAAGAAATTTATTACTTATACTCCACACATAAGAAAATATAGGGTGTTTATCATCTTAACGTGATAAAAACTGGATAAAATATTACAGTATCTCGTCTGGAGTTGTATTAGATGTGTGGGTGGTACAGTCTTCAAGCAACGTATTGACACACTGAAATGATGGGCTATTGTTTCTTTGGCGTTTAATTCAAGAAGCTGATTTCTATTTATAATGTTGGTATTAGTGGAACGTGGGATTTGCTTCGGTTGCACCGGACATCATTATCCATAAACAATGCTACAAAATTAGCGGTTGCAGAAGGAACAACTTTGATTTTAATCAAGAATTTTTTTTTGTTGCAGGTGACTCCAGCCGGCCGCCACGCCCTCACCTACAATGAGGAGTCGTGGAAGCCGTCGTCCGAGGACTCCCCCAAAGTGGAGGAGCTCTCCCGATCTAGTGACACTCGTCAAAGTACGAGCAAGCGGGTCAAAAATTATCTCAAAAAGTGCAAAAATGCGTTAAAGTCCGGGAGTTCGGAGAGCCACGAGGAGGCCGCCTCCACCTCGTCGTGGTACTTGGATGAGCTTATCAGCGTGAGTGAGGTGAACGAGCTCGAGGATATTTACGAAGATGTGCAAGTGAATGTTGACAATCGTGATGTTTATCAAGTGGCTAGTGTTGTTGATGTTATCAGAAATGAGAGCAGGAGTGCGGATGCTGGGGTCGAATCCTCCTCTCCTCCTTTGACGGAAGAGCAAGGGAAGGTTGAGGAGGGAGTTGAGGAGATGCCCACATCAACGGTGAGTTGAGTTTTTGAAAATTGTTTTCTTATTTATAGAATCTCCAAAAGGAATTTTGGTTCAACCACTTCTTCTATACTTTTTCCATTTTTTATCTTTCAATCACAAATGGTAAGAGTCAACAGCAAAGAAATCTTTTTCTAACAACTTTGATTTTTCTGGAAATACGTAACAATTTGGCTTATTGTAATTTGTTACACTTTCTGAAGAAGTGACTTTATTTTTACAGAAAAAAAAATGCAAGAAATCGCACAATCAAAAATCTAGATCACTTTCCAAGGAAAATCAAGTTTTATGGAAAACAGCTTGGAATGTGCTTCTTTGTCTTGTTTTTTTTTAAGAAAATCTTTCATATTTTAAAAGTTGAAAAAACCAATCTCTTTACTTTTAAAACAGCTATAAAGTTTTGTATTGGTTATAAGATTTTGGATTGTTTCATTCAATGTAAATACATTAGGAAAAAAACGTCTTGGAATTTTTTAATATTTTGTTGTACAACTACAAAAATCACAAAATTAAAAATCAATAACTTATTTTTCAAAAACAATTGTTATTTAGATGATTTGTATTGAATTTAGCTTTAATTGTGTAAAAATGTTTTTTTTAATGTAAACGAAAGCAATAATTTTAAAAGTGAAAAACAAAAAAACCTGTTAATTGTTTTTATTTCTCTTTTATGTAAAGGTTAACCTACGAAAGTCAAAAAAAATATATTTTTAAGAGTGCAAAATAATCTATAACTTTCCCCTATACTTTTAAGAAATTTTTCCTTTTCTCTTTCAGACATTTTTGACAAATTCGCAATTAATTCTTTACCTTTCGGTCGCCACATCCATTCCCGTGTTATGACACAATAACGATATGTTTACAAATCAGGCCTGACAACTGATTGATTTAAGAGAAAATTTCCTTTATTAATTTCCATCATTTCATGCAATGAATATCATATTAACTTCCAAACCCTCGTTATAAATAAACATAAAACGTGCACGCATACGAAATTAAAACACAACCCTTTCTTTCCCTAAGACACGTTGAGAATTTATAGTGAAAGATCAAACAAGAACGGCTAACGTAATCGCTTACAGACGATATTATTTAATATTATTCATTGTTAGAGGTACTCCAGGGACGGCTTCCGTTCTGATTTATGTATTTACATTGTCGTAAATGCAGTTGCAGCGTGTTACGCAACCCGCGGAGATCGGTTACGCTTATTAGAGGGAGTAATCGACTAAGGGATGGGGGAAATCGAGACGGCCATAAGGGCCCATTGTCGTGGTAATTATAGGGGACCCACTGGGTTCTCTATTTGTTATCTTTCACTAAATAATAAAATTGCTGAATTTGTTCTTTAGAAAGTTAAGAGCCATTGGAAAGAACTTCAATTTCTTGTAAAAGGCTCTTGAAATTTAATGAAGTACGTTGCAAATACTTCTGGAATTTTTTTTAACACTTTCTTGTGGACGTTGGCTACACTAATAATTTTATTAAGATCATTTCTCATGTAGGTGTGGCACTATAAATAATAAATGCACACATTTACCGCAAATATAAATACAAATTGCTGGAATAAAACACGAGATAAACCGTTTTTGTAAGATTTTATGTCGTCATTAACTACTACTAAATTTGTCCTTCCGTCTTTGTATTTATTAATTAGCTTCTACATTTCCGATGTTCTGTTTGTAGCAATGTCACTGAGCTGTAATGAATTCATTTTTCTTAGAAAATAATCGCTTTGCTGATATTTATCAATGTTTAACACACAAAAAAATAAAACGAAAATGCACACCAAATTTACCTCAAAGTTTACAGAAGTTTGTTGAAGTTAATTACTACAACTTTAATAATTATTGCATTTCAAGACTGACTTCTACATCTAGATAGCAAAGTTTCAGTTTTTTATCTACTTGTTATTATTCAATTTTGATTTTTTTAACTATTTTTCAAATTCTGTAATTTGACGTTTCTATAAATGGTAATTTTTATTTTTTGTTATTTATTTATTTGAGGCGATTGTATTTTTTCCATATTGCACCTCGTCAGGGTGAGGTCTCAGTGTCATTACAATCTCAGTGGTTGCTGGCTCCGGGAGGTGAAAGTGCACTCGTGCTCACACAACTCCGGTGTGGCTTCCGGGCTCGCCGCGTCCGACCTACGACCCCGCTTACTGGGTTACTCGACACCAATCACGCTGCTGATATTTTTTTTAAATCTTTAATCATGTCGCTACCCTATTGGGACATCCAATACGGAAACTTACACACAAATTGCTTGTTTCCTCGGTTTCTACCGGAACGTGGCGTTTAGCGATTCCGGTTACCGGATTTTCATACACGGAGATCGCCACTGATAAAATCAGAGGCTATTCAGTGTTTTAAGACCGAATGGAAACACTAATCGTTCTGCCGGAACTAAAACGGCTCTCGAGACCAGAGCAAAGACATGGAAAGAAGAGTGGAGGTGTAAAAATAAACAAAAGGATTTTTGTGAAAAGAATTTTAGGAATGTTAACAGCTTTTCTTGTAATAAAAGAATTGTTTCAAATTTTATATAATGCAAAAAAAATATCGAAAATTAGCATTTTGATGTGCAAAAATTCTTTAACTATTTTATAAAGAATCAAAATATATTTTTTTAATAGCATTAAGTAGTTTTTTATTTAAGAATACTAAATCTTGTGACGTAGAAACTTCACAGCCAATAGAAAAGCAGCGTTTCAGAATCACGTGATCTATGTCTCTATCTATGTTTGTTATCCTATGTTGATTACGTTGTTAATTTTAATTATTTTTTGGCACATTGGATACACATTTATTTGAAAAAATAATTTTTAGGGAAAATTGTGTCAATATTCCCATGGTTGCCACCTTTAAATGATCCCTTCAACGACTATTTCGATGCACACGAGTATAGTTTGTGATAACTTTCCTTAAACTGAAATTATTTTCTTGTAGTATTAATAGTGTAGATTTACATTTATATTTTATTTATTTTACATGTTTATGCTACAAAAATTATTACATTTAACCAAGATATTTTATTTATCTCTCTTTATTTTTGTTTTTTTTTGCCTAGAACTTAAAAAAAAACTGTTTTAAATTCTAATTGATATTCAGATTTGATTGAGTCTGAAGTTTAAAATTTCTTGTTGTTTTCGTTGCGTTAAAGTGTATGATTAGCTATTGGATTAAATTGAAGCTATTTAGCCGGCAGTTGCTATTACACGCTGCCGGCAAAACAACAAAGACATGAACAAGATTAATTTATTTATAATTAAAGAATTGTAAATGTGTAAATTCAAAAGTTCCTTTAATGGCAAGAGATAATTAAGAAGCAGTTCTGTTTGATCAAGTCGACGATCATCAGGTGCGACCACCCGTATAATAACGGTTTCAATTATTTTATTAATTCTCCGATCTTCTCATCCGCCTCAACACCTCATAAATCCCTAACTCGTCCTAAATTTCTTTCGGGAAAACCAATGTGGTTGCGCGTGAATGCTTGAGCTTTCCTTAAATTACTTTTCAATCATTCGATCGCAATTAAATTCAAAGACAGTAAAACGCAGCCAAGGCGCGGTTTCTCGTTCATAAATATAAATAAATGAATTACAATTTAATTGACTCAAGCGAATGATTTACAGTATGCAAACCAATGAGGGGAAATTGAGTGTTTGCGTATCGGTTTTATTGTCCAGAGCGATTCTTATCGACAGAGAAAGGCTCACATATTAGGGATTTATAAGACTATTATTGGTGCGAACCGCTGATTGGACGCGCGATTGCCGTGATGAGTGGTGTCAGGTGAAAAGGATGCCATGTAAGGACACAGTTTCCCTATTCAGAAATGACAAACGGATTTTTGCAAACTTATTTGGGCTCAATTCAAATGACACGACTGCAATGAGCGAGCTTGAAAAAATTTCGAGACCGCCTTCACTGTTTTCACTCATACAAGTATGAGAACCAGAAAGAATTAACACGAGCTATCATATTCTCCTTACTTGGATTCGAATTTTAAAAGAGAAACAGGAGTATGTTTTTCTGACACCTACCATACTTATTTTATATACTGTATAAGTTTTTCTTTGAAAAAACTCTTTAAACTCATCGAAATAAGCAAAAATTACGAATTTCGAACTTAATTTTTTAGCTTTGTTTTTACAAAAATTATCAAACTTTGTAAATTTCTCACTGGAAATATTATATTTTACATTTAATTTAATTGTATGTAATCATACAATTTTGTGCTTTGTTTTGTGCTTTGTTGTTCGGTGAAAAACGTTTTAAATTTATAGAAATTAACAAAAATAATGCATTTCTAGATCTAATTTTGTAATTTAAACTCTGTTTTTACACATTTTTTTTGTTTTGTAATTTTATACTCTGTTTTTACACAATTTTTTAAATTCATTGATTTAATTTGTGAAAGTGTATTAAATTAAGCCAACATTTCAATAATTTAACTTTGTTTTGACCAGGGCCGTACCCGTACCCCCCGAAATGCTGAGCACTTTGTTATATAGTGTTATGTGTTAAAAATTTAGTTTTTTTGTTATTTTAATGAGTTAATTTTAAATTTTTGTAAATTAATTTTTCATGTGTTAATTATACAGTGTTTCATTTTTATTGTTAGGTACAAATTTAATTAGTTAATAGAATATTTAATTTTAAGATAAAAGTGTTTTGAAAAATGCTATGAAAAGGAGCTACACCCCCTAAAAAAGGTACGTTTTTTCAAGGGTTTTTCCTAATATTTCAGAATAGATAAAATTACAAAATTTGGTACCTTTATATGTACACCCAAACAAATGCCAAATAACAAAATTTTTAATCAGGGGCGTCCTAAACGGTAAAACAAATTTAATTTTTAATTTTTATGCTGTTTATGGTCTGTAACATAAATTTTTGAACCGATTTTAACTAAAAATCCGTAAATTGTATCGGAAAAACACAAAAGACTTTTTTTTATGAAAAACTATGAAATTTTGTTGC